AATTCAGCATAACAACTTTTAGACACAGTGGACCAAATGCACACTTAGAGCTCAAATGTTCCACCCAGACGTTATTTCTAAAAACAGATTAAAAAGTCATTTTCTGTTATGTTTGAATTATTTCCAGGCATGTGTTATTTCAAAAGGCATTTTCTTCTATCTGCACAAAGTGAACACACATACAGATGAAGAGATCAAATAATGTTGCCTCTACTAGCAACACAAACTGGAATTGAAAGGCAATATTTTTTTGGGTTAGAGTTCATATTTAAAAAAATGAAGGCTGAACTGTATTTATTCTTGGGACTGGACTATCAGTCCCACCACTTACACACTATTTATTTCTTGCCATAGTTGCTTTACCCTAATTTAATTTTATGATTTTTCCCTATTTTTATAATACTTACAAGCTAGACAAAATACCAGTATTAGTGTCAAACTTGGCATCCTGATAACTAACAATCAATCTGTAACATATTGCCTCATCCATTTTCTGGCTATTGGCAGTTAGTTGTCCCATTTGTCTTCTTAAATGTCTATTTACATGCTAAATTATTTGAAGTATCATTCTTCTCCGGCTCTTTTAATTTAGTTTCCTTTCCTTTGCAGCCAACACTATTGAAAACGGTAAAATGAAATGCCGTCACACAGCATGCTGGTGAAAGTTCACTTCATATTTTTGCATATTCATACATCAAAATGTATGGAAATCCAAAATATGACTGATCAGTAACAATATACTACTTAGTTTTAAGTGAGCTTGGCTGATTCTACAGCTGAGGTATGTACAATCAATCATCCTTTATTCATCCATTTGTCAATATTTTGGTTAAGCAGGTTCAAGTATCATTTATTCCTTATAATTTATACAGTGATAAGTATGTTCAGTGCTGTGTAACAGTTGAACTTTGCCCCCAAAATTAATTTTGGTAACTTGCTCATTCTCTTTTACAAATTACATGCAGAACTTGCTGATATTAAATGTACATTGTAACACACATTCTTCTTTCTCTTCCACTTTCCTAATCAAGAAAACTATTCCCTTGTATCCTGAAAAATTTACATTGCAGCTAAGGAAGTTACAAGACTGTCTTTTTTATTTCTGGTTAGTGACTTGGTAGGGAGTTGTAAGACCGAAATTGGAGATTGTGTGTATATTACTACCCAGAAACTACTGAAAACTACTATGACTGAGAACTCCTTTCCTTGTGAGTGAGGTTGACAACGCATGCAGTGAGGTCATCGGGAGAACTCATGCTGAGGTTGTGAGTGTAATGGGATTAAAGAAGACAGAAGAGGGGGTCAGGGTCACAATGTCAGAGTCCCCATGTAATTCAAGACGTTCATCTTACATATTTCAATACTGCAACCACTAAATAACTCTCTCATCTTATCCTAACATTTTTTTCAAGATATACCAAAGGTAGTGTGGTGCTAGGCAACTAGGCAACATCTTGTAGAGGAATTCATGCTCCAATCACCTCATTTTGTTATGTAGGAAACGTAAGATGATGTGTCCAAAATATTTTCTGAGTATAGGAAAATGAAGCCACTTCAATTTGAATTCAATGACCCTTATTAGTTTATCATCAATACAGAAAACGATTTAATCAATGGTTACAGGAATGGTGCATCACTGGAAACCCTTTGAACAAAATTCACGGCATGCAACATATTAATATGAATCACATTATGGGCAAGCAAAAAAATTAGTCCCTAGAATAAATTTCACTAAGAAAGTTTAATTAAAGATTAAATTTTTCAGGGATATGCACTTCTTCAAACAACAGAGTACAACATAGCTAGCATTACGAAGCCATATTTCTCCTGTCTCTATATTGTAAAACAATAGTATGTAAAGTACAGCTGTAAACTGACAGACCACATAGTCCATAAGGCAAAACAGGAAGATTAGTTTCAACCAGTCCTTTGAATTAGGTAACAACGGATTGCATTCACTGCATTTCAGAAACATTGCTTTGAACCCTGAACTTTAAATAGGTGAAATGTTCCTTGATTTTATATGGATTTTTTTAAGTCATTTAAAAAAAAAAACCTTTTCACAAAGTTCAACAGTAAGGCCCAATTTGACTGGCTACCTGCAGGTTGCTTAAAGTCACAAGAGATAGCACCAAGAGCTGCACAAATCTTTGTAACAAAATCTAGTTCAAATTTACTGAATTCACAGTGGATGCACTGGTTCTATTGACAACATACTGGGCACTGTGGAACACTTCTGATTTCCCTGTGAATATTCATTTCAGTGAAAGAAAATACTCTAGTTGGAAAAGTTGAATAAGCATCTCTGGGGGCTATGAGCTAAAACAAACTAAAGAGATTAACCAAGTTATTCACCCATATGTTTAAGACAGTCTGATATATTAACAAATTTAAAAAATATAAATACATGTTATGATATTTTAAGTGTGAAAGTATTTTCCACTCAAGGACCACTAACTATCATTGATTTTACCCTAGAAAGCATGAGAGAAGTTTAAAATGATGGAAAATATATTACTTTTAATTGCACTTTCAGTGGGTATAGTGCTGACATCGCTGGCAATACTGGTGCTCCAAGAGGACTTGATTTAGCCATGGTTATGCAGCCAATAATCATACTAGTGTGATTTTTATCACACTCAATGGATTTTTATTACAGGAGACAAGGTCACACAAGCAGCCACCTGAGGGGAATCTTGCTTTGGTGCATGTTGCTGTGAGATCAACTGATAGGGGATGGTAAAGTAGACAGCAATCTTCCATGTCACTTCCCCTACGCCATCCTCCAACTGAGTCAATTCCACATTGTGTTAGAACAGCCGTAGTGATATATTACGAAAGAGACTGTTTACCCCTTTTAACACTTCCTGAAATTTTCTAGGATACTTCAGAACCTTTTAAAGATCTCCCATGCCTAAATCACAGCAATATATGCATATTGATACATAAATATTTGTTCATGCTAATAATTTATTTCAATTCAAACATTTAATTTTGTAAGGTAAACGAAAGAAAGCTAACATGGATTTATTTTTTGCAGAAGACTTAGCTCATCATTTAACTTCCCTACTTTTATTATCTTAATTCATTTGAAGAAAATATTATACTAATTTGTCTTGAGAAGTACGTGTTCCTTTCTGTGTTTTGGAGAAAACATTTTGTGGATACTACATAATAAGAGGTAAACACACCACCAGCTTTTAACTGAACCAATCATTGAAGTGATGGAAAAATGCTACTGTAAATTGAACCTGCCCATTTGTTCAGACCCAAAGTTGATTTACTGTTGTACATCACTGTGTGATGCAAATAAACACAACAGAAGTACATAAGAATGGCCATACCGGGTCAGTTCAAAGGTCTCTCTTGCCCAGTATCCTGTCTTCTGACAGTGGCCAGTGCCAGGTGCCCCAGAGGGAATGAACAGAACAGATAATCATCAAATGATCCATGCCCTGTCTCCCATTCCCAGCTTCTGGCAAACAGAGGGTAGGGACACCATCCCTGGGCATCCTGGCTAATAGCCATTGATGGACCTATCCTCCATGAATTTGTCCAGTTCTTTTTTTTGAACCTTGTTATAGTCTTGGCCTTCACAATATCCTCTGGCAAAGAGTTCCACAGATTGACTGTCCGCTGTGTGAAGAAATACTTCCTTTTGTTTGTTTTAAACCTGCTGCCTATTAATTTCATAGAACCCCTAGTTCTTATGTTATGCGAAGGAATAAATAACACTTCTTTAATTTACTTTCTCCACACCTGACCTCTATCATATCCCCCCTTAGTCGTCTCTCTTCCAAGCTGAAAAGTCCCAGGCTTATTAATCTCTCCTCATCCGGAAGCCATTCCATAAGCCTAATAATTTTTGTTGCCCTTTTCTGAACCTTTTCCAATTCCAGTATATAATTTTTGTGACGGGGTGACCACATCTGCACGCAGTATTCAAGATGTGGATGTACCATGGATTTATATAGAGGCAATATGGTATTTTCTGTCTTATCATCTATCCTTCTCTTAAGGATTCCCAACATTCTGTTCGCTTATTGACTGATGCTGCACACTGAGCGGATGTTTTCAGAGAGCTATCCACAATGACTCCAAGATCTCTTTCTTGAGTGGTAACAGCTAATTTAGACCCCATCATTTTATATGTATAGTTGGGGTTATTTTTTTTCCAATGTGCATTACTTTGCATTTATCAACATTGAGTAGCACTAGGCTTCCAAGGAGTTCTGTTCCAGCATTCGGAATCCTTTATTGTTTACACTGCTAGAATCTAGCAAACCACTCTCCCTGCTGTTCACACAATCAAATAACTCTGAAATGAGTGGTTATAAATACAGTCAGAGCAGGAGATACTAATAAGATGTACTCTAAATCCTCATTTGAAGATGAAATAATTTCTTGAATGGGCACCGTATGATTATGCTGCCATGTGTGGGGTCAATATGATTAACTCTGGCAGCTCTCAACTCAATCTCATACTTGGCTATCACTTGATATTAAAAAAATTAAAGCCTTCTTCAAATCAACCCTCCCCTATGACTATCCACAAGTCACTGAGCTCTTATTTATGTATATTTCCTAGCATCTCTCAATTTGAATAACCCCCCCCCCACCCCCAGCTCTCCAGGTACCTGTCAGCATGACAGACAGATTTAAACAAGTGTACTTTCAACTCTTGAGTCCATGCTGACTAGCTTCTTCCAGTTCTCCAGCTGTTCACAAGCACAAGACCCTGGAGAATACAAACTACTGAAAAGAGCTTTACTTATTTTGTCTAAATTCTGCTTACTCCTGGAACAGTATTCTCCTGGCGAAACACCAAAACATAAGAAGTGGCAACCGATTACACGTTAGGACATCCAGGTGAGTCAAAATATTTTGCTGCCAATATCACTGGGCACAAGTATAAATACTGCATAACAAAAATACCATATTTAATTAAGTCTGAAGCAAGCAAAATAGCCCTTTTTCTTGGAGGGGGAAAAACCTCTTACCTTTTGTAGCTATTCGAACACACTGAGTTTTAGTTTCCTGTTGAGGGGGGAAAATTAAAGAAGATACAGTCAATTGCGTATTTCAATTTCTCCCACTTCACAAACAGTATTAGTACTATTGCATACGGTAGTGAAGAGCTCTAGGAAAAGTAGTGGAGACTGAGGAGTAAACGAATTTTGTCTCTACAGAGGTGGCAATCTCAGTAAAATTGTTAATCAATTCCTAATCTCTCTCTAGCTCAGGGATCAGCAACCTTTGGCACACAGCCCATCAGGTAAATGCGCTGGTGGGCCGGGATGTTTTTTT